CCCCCAGCGCCAGGTAACGACCGCATCCAGAAACGCACGGGTGAAACGGCATCTTTAAAAGAGCGCGCTAGACTTGTTACACAAGAAGTGGTTGGTAGGAGCAGAACGATGTTGTCGCTCGGCTCTGAAGCGAAAAGCTGTATGCATTGCACCGGATGCCTTTTTATGCTCACGCTGTGATCAGCGGCAGCTGGATGCAGTCATCGCATGCCAATGTGCACTTTCTCGTTTAGTTTACACTCGAAGTGTAAAAAAAAATAAATAAATAAATAAATATATATATATATATATATATATATATATATATATATATATATTAAAAAACTTAAATGCATTTTAATTAGTTCCCAAGGAAACACTTCTCATTTTCATTTAGTTTAGCTTGATATACTAAAATAACTAAAACTAAAATGGAAATAAAACTAAATAAAAACTATATAGACATATTTTTTTTAAAAACTAATGAAAATTATTTAAAAAACATCACTAAAACCTTAATAAAATTTAAAATAGAAACAGAAGATATACAAATAAAACAAATTCAAACTATTAATAAAAACCACAATAGTATCTCATTGATACTAAAATAATACGGACTGAAGTCAAATAAAATATAAAAAACCTTAAACTTATTTCATTTTAACTAGTTGCCAATGCAATATTTGTCATTTTCATTTTAGTTCAAAACTAAAATAAGTAGAATGAAATAAACTAAAACATAAAAACTATTGATAAAATAATAAATGATACTAATGATAAAAACACACAACAAAATTACTAAAACTTGAACTAAAATCATAAATTATAAAATATAAAAATAAAATCTAATTGAAAATGTTAACAAAAACTATAATAGTATCTAAGTGATACTAAAATAACACCGATCTGCAGCATCCTTCACTTAAAATGTTAGACTTTAGAAGTTTTCTTTTTATTATTATTATTTTTACAGAAGTACAACACAGTTCAAATAAAAATAGAAATGCAAAAAAGAGAGAGGGAAAGGAAAAGGAGAAACGAAGGAAAAAAAGAATTTAGAAAAAGTTACATTAAAATTAAATGAACATGAATGATCAAGGTATAATTAATATATAAATATTAATTTATATATTTATTTAATTTAAAGTAGATTACATATTTTCATGGTTCAGTACTTTTTTAGCTTTGTAATAAAGTTCAGCAGTGTTTTAGTTTTCATTCAGCATCCATTATCGATTTTTTTAATTTATCGGTTATCGGTGTGGTCCAACTTCGTTATCGTTATCGGTAAAATGCACAAGCGTTTGGAGTGTGAATGTGAGTCCGTTAGCGGATCTGAGTGTGTGACAGGCTGTATTCTCTTCAGCAGAGGGAGGAAGACGCTGATATGGATAGTTATCAGGTATTCTGCTGATCATGTGCTTCAGACAGGAGTGTGATGAAATTAAGATCATAATCGTCCATTAATGAGGCTGATATTGTAATCTCACTGAGAGATTCCTGCATTAACACACGGCTGTCTTCACCGGTCACGTGATCAGTGCATGGCTGCATGATTCTGCATGTTTACGTGCGTTTGAGCCGCTCTAGATGGAGCTGCGTATAGTATAAGCGCTTCATCTGTCTGAAAACGCCACACTGGATTTAATATGCCTTTATTAATTCATTCATCTGTGTGTTTATTCTGATGTTGTGTAAGTATCTAATCTTGATGCTTGGCTCCAAATCTGCACCTGACACCTTGTCTACACTGGATTACACTGAAATCTGTTATTTTATTATTGGCATAGTGCATAATCTAATGCATACAAAAGATTATTTAAATCAGACCAGAAAGCAGGAATATTTTGAACTGACCTTGATCGAATGCTCAGATGTTACTGAAATACTCAGTGAATAAAATTCAAAATCATATAAAATAATAATATAATAATATAAAGAGACAAAAAAATTTAGAATTTTGAAACTTTTTTTTTTTTACAAAAAAAATTAATTTAAAACAAGTTTAAATAAAAATAGATTTAAATAAAAAAGATAAAACCAAGAAATAAAGAAAAAAACACATTATGTATGCTGTAAAATGGCATAAAAAAATTATTTCTATTTCATATAATTTATAGCATATTATGGTTTGCTTTTTTATTTTATTTATTATTTAAAGATCATGTCATTAGACTAGTTTTGTGATCGTGTCTTGTCTTTTGACTGGTTCAGACAGAGATGATCCACCTTTTTAAACTAAATTATAAATATTTATATATATATATTGAATATAATCAAAAGGCTGAAAAATATAGAACATATTAAAAATGAAAGAGTTTTACATGAAACTTTTTCATTTGTAATATTTCCTGTATTATTATATAAATGGAAATATTTTAAATATGTTCTGTATTATTCTATATGTTCTATATGTATATTATTTTATTGCATTTTTAATGTGCATAATAATAAACATTTTGTATAATAATTTTATATGTATTTTATGTAATGTGTTTTAATGTGTATATTAATAATTTTGTATCATTTAATATTTATTTTATGTAATATATTTTTGTAATATGTATAATGATAATAACATTATATAAATGAAACATTTTCTTTTTTTAATGTTGTATATTTTTCAGTTTTTTGCACCCTCAGATTCCAGATTTTCAAATAGTTGTATCTCGACCAAATATTGTCCTATCATAACAAACCATACATCAATGGAAATCTTATTTATCCGGCCTACAGATGATGTATAAATCTCAATTTCAAAAAATTGACCTTTATGACTGGTTTTGTGGTCCAGGGTCACATTTTTCAGCCTTCTGATGATATTCAATATATATCTCAGTTTTTATATAATTAGCCATAAAAAATATATAATATTAAACAATAGTGTTGACATTTGGCATCATGCCGCTGGTGATTATTGTAGACACGGTGTGAGATGGATTGATCAGTGGGATCAACTTCAGATGGGATCTTCAGATTATTTTCCACTCGCTTAAAGTTTTTGACATATTTATGCCTTAATGGCCCACTGACTGCAGCGAATCTGAGCTCTGTATGTGGTTCTGCAGGAGGAGGATCTGAACTGTGTCCGGGAGCGCTGGTCTGAAGCCCTCATCAAGCGCAGGGAGTATCTGGAGGAGCAGATCAAGAAGATCATCAATAAGTCAGGTTGGCGTTTGACGCATGTGTTGGTGCTGCTGATCTGATGCAGCTGCTGCTGTAGTAGTAGTAATATCTTTATTTGTCCCTTCACAGGGCAATTTATACAGCATCAACCTCACAAACAGACAGATTTTATAAGACATCATGACGAAAACTGATAGAACAAAAACATCACATCAAATACAACCACAACAAAACCCGAGCATTAACAGTGCACCATTTCAAATATGGTACTCCTCATGGTACACCTTTATCTTTATGTTTCAAATAATTGTTTACAATCAAGACCGCATTTGAAACAAAAGATCTAGAAGCTCTAACAGTCCTCCACTTGGGCACGATATCGTCTGCTTGAAGGAAGCAGTTCAAATTCTGAATACAAAATATGAGATGTATCATCTAAGATAGTCAAGGACTTCCTAAGAACAATTTCTCGCACAGAAACTGTACAGAGCCTGTAATCTTTGACCCCAAATTAACAATGCTCTGCAGCCAGGATCTACTTTTAACATTTAATCCGTAAAAAAAACAACAAATCATAGCAAAAGTCAAGACAGTTTCGATAAAAGATCTATAAAACATTATCAAAATAGATTTATCCACATCAAAAGACTTAAGCTTCCTCAGCAAATATAACCAGTTTTGTGCTTTTGATACAACAAGACTTTGACTCATGTGATGTAATGGCCTGTGATTTCCAGAGAAGTGCGAGGAGGACGTGGAGCGAGAGGCTCGGCTGGTGGAGCAGTGGGTCGCTCTGACGGAGGAGAGGAACGCCGTGCTGGTTCCGGCCCCTGGCAGCGGGCTCCCGGGGGCCCCGGCGCACTGGTGAGAACTGAACCACTGGAGACCAGTGTAAACCAGTCCTGATCAATCTTAGCAGCTTTAGAAGACAAGCTGTTTGAGAGAGTGACATAGTGACCCAGGACCACAAAACCAGTCATAAGGGTCAACATTTATATTATAGATTTATACATAATCTGAAAGCTGAATAGATAAGCTTTCCATTGATGTATGGTTTGTTAGGATAGGATCCAAGGTACAACTATTTGAAAATCTGGAATCTGAGGGTTAAAAAATCTAAATATTGAAAAAATCGCCTTTAAAGTTGTCCAGATGAAGTCCTTAGCAATGCATATTACTAATCAAAACGTAAGTTTTGATATATTTACGGTAGTAAATTTACTAAATATCTTCATGGAACATGATCTTTACTTAGTATCCTAATGATTTTTGGCATAAAAGAAAAATGTATAATTTTGACCCATACAATGTATTTTTGGCTATTGCTACAAATATACCTGTGCTACTTATGACTGCTTTTGTGCTCCAGCGTCACATTTGTAAAAACGAAACATTCCTCAATCAGACCTTTGTTTTTATTGGAATATGACTATTAGTAGGGCCCTATGAAATCCGTTTTTTTTCCCCCAAATTCCGTTTTTTCCATTGTAATTTTTCTGGATTCCGGTTTTTTTTTTCTGTTTTAATTTTTCTAGACTGTTTTAATGCTTAGATTAAATTTATTCATCAAAAAGCAAGAAACTTACAATATTAAACAGCTATTTATTGAAGGTTTAACAAAAATTACATGTTTAAGTCTGTGTGAAATATGTTTTATTTATTTTTTTCAAATTCAGTTCTTTTTTACCAAATTCTGTTTTCCTTGAAATTTCTGGATTCCATTTGAATGGTTTCATTAAATATTAGTAATCAAAAGCATCTCTAATTAATTGATTTTATTTAAAAAAAAATATTATTATTATTTATATTTCCGCATTGCGGATAATCATAGGGCCCTATATTAGTTATTATTAAGGAACAGACAAAATAAAATAGAGTAGAATTTATTTACGTAAAAACATGATGATAAATTAAGATAAAATTCAAATAACAAAACAAAAATAAAAGTAAAAAATACTATGTTATGTAATATTTTAAAATTTAAATAATATAAAATTCAAGGAAACAGTGAACAGAAACAGAAAAATTTATATTTATTTACTGTAACTTAATTATTAAGACTTATTTATCTAAAGTACGTAAGAAATTCAGACATTTCCATTAGATTCACATTACTGCAATAGTCATTTATGTTTGTAATAATAAAAATATTAAAATTGAAAAAATAAAAGTAAAAAATACTTCAACACAATGTTAGATTTTAAAATGTAAATCATTGAATTAAAGGAAATACAATATTAATAACATTTATATTTTCAGCTACTTTTATTTAACTTAAGTATTAAGACTTTTTAACTAAAGACATTCGCATTAGATGCACTTTATTGTAATAGTCATTTGTTTTTTGTAAAAATAAAAATACATTTAAAATAAAATAATAATAAAAAACACTGTTATATTTTAAATGTGAAATCATATTAAATGAAAGGAAATATAATAAATTCAGACATTCAGACATTCTCATTATTCGCATTAGATTCACTTTACAGTAATTTTTGTAAAAATAATATTACATTAAAATAAAATAACAAAAATGAAATAATAAAAGTAAAAACACTATAACAGTTATATTTAAAAATTGAAATCATATTAAATTAAAGGAAATACAATATTAATAAAATTGATACTTTATGGTACATTTATTTAGCTTAAGTATTAAGACTTATTTAACTTAAGTAGGCTTTAGACATTCTCGTCATTCTCATAGTATAATATTTATTTTAAACAAAATAAAGAAATACAAATAAAAAATAATAACATAAATTAAAATGTAAATATTTGCTCAGTTATTACATTAATTTTAGTGCTGTCAATCGATTAATCGTGATTAATCGCATCCAAAATAAAAGTTTTTGTGTACATAATATATGTGTGTGTGCTGTGTATATTTATTATGTATATATAAATACACAAACATTCAGTATATATTTCAGAAACGTGTGTTATGTTTATATATTAAATATATTTATATGTAATATAAATTATATAAATATATACATGTACATATTTTCAAAATATATACTGAATGTGTGTGTGTTTATATATACATAATAAATATACACAGCACACACACATATATTATGTAAACAAAAACTTTTATTTTGGATGCGATTAATCACGATTAATCGATTGACAGCACTAAATTAAATTAAGTATTTTATGTTGTGTTGTTGTTGCTCAAGGGTTCCCCCTGCTGGCATGGAGGCTCATATTCCTGTGCTGTTTCTGGATCTGAATGGTGAGATATATTGATCTTCAGGGTTCAAGGGCTGAAGGTTTTTCTGGTTTACATGACTCTGTCAGATCAGTGATTTAGGCTGGTTTGCTTGTGACGGTTATTTTATCTGTAATGTGTGTTTTGCAGCTGATAACCTGACGGTGAACGATCAGCTGACCGGTCCTCACGCCGCCGGTGTTAACTCAATCCTCCCCAAAGAGCACGGCAGCCCGTTCTTCTACCTGCCCATCAACAGACACAGCCATGACGAGGTGACAGGAGTTACACCTGTTCAAATGTGTTTACACCTGTAGGAGTTACACCTGTAGGATTTTTCAAATGTGACCCTGGACCACAAAACCAGTCATAAGGGTCAGTTTTTTGAAATTGAGATTTATACATCATTTGAAAAGCTGAATAAACAAGCTTTCCATTGATGCATGGTTTGTTTATGATAGGACAATATTTGGTCGAGATACAACTATTTGAAAATCTGGAATCTGAGGGTGCAAAAAAATCAAAATATTGAGAAAATCTCCTTTAAAGTTGTCCAAATGAAGTTCTTAGCAATGCATATTACTAATCAAAAATTAAGTTTTGATATATTTACGGTAGGAAATTAACAAAATATCTTCATGGAACATGATCTTTACTTAATATCCTAATGATTTTTGGCATAAAAGAAAAATGTATAATTTTGACCCATACAATGTATTATTGGCTATTGCTACAAATATACCATGCTACTTAAGACTGCTTTTGTGCTCCAGGGTCACAAATGTAAATGACCCAATGTGAATAATGGAAATTACCAAAAAGAAAAGTAAGAAGTCTGGATGCATTACAGGCATGATAATTAGGGATTGTGGGTTGTCTTGAATAAAATGTCTTACTTTGAAAAATAATTCATGATGGTACTAAAATAACTATATTATTTTATTATGAGTGTATTGTTTATTATATATATATATATTAGTGCTGTCAAACGATTAATCGCATCCAAAATAAAAGTTTTTGTTTGCATAATATA